GGCATGTGGATGGAATGTTCCATCTCTGTGGCCACTGCCCTTTCCTGGGGTGGCTGTGACCCCAAGCGCTCTGTCCGCTAATGACACCCTCTCCCCTTACCAAGTCTCGGCTCTGCCCTCACCTCTGGGCTTCAAGACTCACAGCCCAACCCCCGCTTCCTATAGAGAAGGTATCCTAGCCTAGCTCCCGGGGGCCTTAGGACAGGGGTGGGCCTTGGAACCTGGAGAAAGAGAGAGGGATCTGAGGGAAGAGCAGGTGTAAGTCCGCCCACACCCCATGTCCTGCGGTCCAGGTTCCCTGCAAGCCCTCCAGACTCTGCATCATTGCTCCAGGGGCCTCTCCTGTTTACCAGGCCCGGGTAAGTCTGCTGGCTGTCCTCTCTCTGGGTGTTGCCCCGCACCCCAGCAAGGGGCCCCTTACCGCGATGGTGACCACGGTGCGGTCTGCGAAGGCTGTCATCACCACCTTCTGGAGGATGTTTTCCTGCCGGGTGGGAGCAGCAGTGGTTGGCTCTTCTGCCTAGTGGATGGGGTCTGGCCTGGCTTTGGGGATGTGGGGCCCAGGTCTGCGGTCCAGCTCCCAAGTGACCCCAATCCTAGCCCACCCTTCCCTCCGTCTGTCTGGTCCTTGTCCCCATAGGACCAACCAAGTTCTAGCATTCAGGGGCGGAGCTCAGCGTGTCGGGGGCTCAGCTCTATGCACGTGTGTGTGCTGTGAGTGGGTCTGGCTGGGCTGTGTGGCGGGTGATGGGTGTGAAGTCCCTCTGGGTCTGTGTGCAGCTTGTGTGTTTGTGAGCTATAAACATGCCCTGAAACTAGCTCGAGTCAGGGTCCCTCCAGCCCTTTGCCTTTTCTGCCACAAATGGCCCTTGATGTTAAAGACAACTCGAGCTTCGGGACCACTTTGTGCAAATTTCACCCCAAGACCCCATGACAACCCTCTCCAAGACCCCACCCCACGGCTGTGCTCCGGACCGACCGTGGCCATGTCGATGGAGGCCGTGGCTTCGTCCATGATGAAGATGCTGGTCTTCCTCACGAAGGCCCGAGCCAGACAGAACAGTTGCCTCTGGCCCTGACTGAAATTCTCCCCGCCTTCCGTGATGATGGCATCTGAAAACAGCCCCGGGGAGGAGGAGCAGGGCTGAGGTAGTCTGGCTTTGGGAGTTTAGTAGATAGCAGGGCTTAGGGGGTGTTAGGAAATGTATGTACAGGGCCGAATATGCAGGCGTGGGTCATGAGGCCGGGGGTGTGCAGGGCTGCTGCACCTCGCCCCACGACGCAGGTGCCACCTGCATGAATTACAGAGAGGAGCACCCTCTGCAGGGGTGCGCTGCCCTGGCCCCGGGAGGCCCCGGGAGGCTCCGGGAGGCTCTGGGAGGCTCCGGGAGGGGGGCGTGTGCACTGAGTACGTAGGTGCTTGAGGTGTGTGTGTGGGCACTGGTGGGGCGAGTCTCTGAAGCTAAGGCTTGGCCGGCCCCCACTGCCCCAGGGGCTGTAGCAAACACACCAAGGCTCTGCAGCCCTCTGGGCTGGGGGGCAGAGTCTTCCCTGCACCCCGGAGGCCTGACCCGTCTGTCCTCTCCTTCCTCGGGGCAGAGCTGGGCGGGCCGGTGGCCGGGGTGGGCAGGGCCGAATGCACTGTGGTGGGATGATGGACTCCCACAGCGACTCCCGCTGTCCCCCCTCCCCCTGGGTCCCTGGGGGCGGGGCTGGAGCTGGCCTGAATTGACCAGTCGTGTGGCCTGGGACAACTCACGTGACCTCTCTGAGCTCCCGTAAGGTAAAAGGGGACCCGGAATGGTCTCCGGGGTCCTGCCAGACCCTAGGCTAAAGCCAGGGCAGACCTCAGAGCCGGGTGTGCGTTTTCCCGCCTAGCCCTTCCAGACGTCCTCTGGCCCGGCCCGCGGCTCCCGCGGGAGTTACCCAGGCCGCCCGGCAGCGCCTTCACCACCAGCTTCAGCTGGGCGATCTCCAGCGCCTCCCACAGCGTGCTGTCCGAGCACTTCTTCTCCGGGTCCAGGTTAAATCTGGAGGGTGCCACAGAAAGTCGTCTCAGGGAGGGAAGCCGGGTGCTGGCTCGTCCCCGGGGACTGGCCGAGGGCGAGGCTGGGGAACGGAGCGGTGAGAGAGAACTGGTTGCCGCGGGGGCCTGGCTGGCCGAGGGGGCAGCCAGCTGGTGAGCGGGTGGGGGGAAGCTGCCCCCCGGCAGAGCTGCTGGGGCTACCTCACAGGGCCCCACGGGGGCGAGAAAGGCGCGAGGCTGGAAGTGTGAGGCTCCAGGCCGGCCCACAGTGCCCAGAGCCTGAGCAGGGCTGCCTGCCCCGGGAGGGGTACCCAGCAGAGCACTCCGGGCCTCGCCCACCCCTCCCCTCCTCATGCCCCAGCTGCAAGGCGCCGGGCCTGGGACGGGGAGGGGGGCCCCGCGGGAGCGGTGGGGCTCACCGGATGGTGCCGCTGAAGAGGACGGGGTCCTGCAGGATGATGGAGAGGCGTGAGCGCAGGGTGTGCAGGGGCAGTTTGGCGATGTCAATGCCGTCAATGATGATGTGCCCTGTGCGGAGACAGGGGCACGGGTGGGGCACCAGGGAGCGGGGGAGCTGGTGGTGCCGGGGACAGGTTCAGCCTGGGAACGTGGGTCCCATCGAGGATGCAGGGGGAGGCAATGATTGCTGGGCCTCCTATGACATCTGACCATACACCGGGACTGAGGTCCCATCTGGTGGCTGTGGGTACACGGGGGGCGCCTGTCACACCACTCACCTTCGAACATGTCCACCATGCGGAAGAAGGCGAGCGAGAAGGAGGACTTCCCACTGCCTGTGCGGCCACAGATCCCAATCTGGAGAGAGGAGCAGGTACTGAGTACCTGGGGAAGCTTCTGGTGCTAGCTCTGGGCTATGCAGGCACTGGAGGGCACAGCATCTCTTGTCCTGCCTTTCTGACCAGCTTCTATTTGGCCAGGGCTGGGCCCGGCTTTGGGCTTGCTTCCTGGGTTCAGGGGGCCTCCCACAGGGACCCGCAAGCAAGTACAGGGCGTAGATGTGCATCTCCTGGGCCTGGGTGTAGGTCTTGCCGTGCCTGGTATGTGGCTGCAGGGGAGTTGGGGCCCTGGTGCGACGTGTATGTGCGCGGGTGTGGGAGGAGGGCCGGGGGGCGGCTCCGTGCGGTCTGCAGCGACGTATCTGTGTGCCCCACCTTACACTGGGGTCACCTCTGACCCCATTGCTTCCCGGCCCATGGGTACCAACAGAAAGGACAATAAGGGACCAGTACAAAGACAGAGATGGTGACACAGAAGGACGGGAGAGGTAGGGACAGATGGGAGGGCCAGAGGCAGGGACAGAGGTACATCTGAAGGTCAGAGAGAATGAGACAGACAGCCACAGACAGAGAGACAGAGACTAAGAGACAGAAGGGGGGGCAGTGTCAGAGCAGAGGGGGCGCGAGGAGGGAATCCATCAGACAGTTGGGTCAGAGTGCCAGACAAGTGTGGCCTCACTCTTTGTCCCGAGGACCTGCTCTGAAGCTCAGGGGGCCCCTGACAAAGCCCTCTCAGCCGGGGGAGTCTGGGGTGCCCATCTCCTTGGTGGGTGAGTGAGGGCAGCAGAAGGAGCAGGGGAGCGGGAGTGGGGGAGAGGTGGGCTGAGCCTCGTCAGTGTGAGGAGCCCAGGGCCAGCACCTGGGGGGGGTCCGACTAGTTGGGAGCCCTGGAAGGCCCCGGGGGGCCGTGAGCTGACTCTGTGCCACGGGCCAGCCCTCTGCCCTGCCGCCCACTGACCTTCTGTCCTGGGGAGATGAGAGCGTTGACATGCTTCAGCACTGGCTTCAGAGAGCTGTCATAGCGCACACTTAGGTTCTGGATCTGGATCTTCCCTTGGTCTGGCCAGTTCTTCGGGATGAGCGAGGGTGCTGGGGGCCAGACCGGGGCTCAGCCAGCAGATACAGGCGCCGCTGGAATCCAGGAGGGCCCCCCTCCCCCCGACGTGCCCCTCGGCCGGGCCTCTCACCCAGCAGCCCCTCGTAGCTCTCCGCTTCGGTTTTCAGGAGCCCATGGATGCGCTTCACAGCCCCCAGCTGGATCTCCATGTCCGCCAGGTTCCTCACCATCCAGTTGAGGTAGTTGGAGACCTGCGGGGAGTCAGTGAGCACTTGGTCCAACCCCGGCCACCAGGAGGGCTCTTCTTACAGCTGAGGGGCCAGGGGCCCTCAGTGTCTTCTGCTGCTATTCAGGGGGGTCCTCCCTGGAGGCATGGGAGGGTTACAATGAACGTGGATCCTTACCCACCACCTGTCTGGGGCCCCGGCCCTGGGTTAGCCCCCCTACCCACATGGTCCCTCCTGCATCAGACTCACAGTAGCTTGGGGTAGGGCCTGGAGGGTGTCTCCGAGATTCCCCGAGGGCTGGTATCTGAGCCCTCCCCTGCCCCAGTCTGCTGTCACTCACCATTAGGGCATAGGTAAGGCCCAGGCCCACCAGGCCAGCAGAGAGCTCCCTGTGCAGGGAGTTGGAGATGGAGGTCACGGCCGCGATGAGGACCACACAGGCACCGATGTACTCCTGTGGAGGGAGGTGAGCCCGTGTGGGCCCTCTGAGGTCGAAACCACAGGGCCCCCCAACCCACCTCACTCCCTTCAGCTCAGCAGACACTCTACCCCAGCCCAGCCAACACACCTACACATCATCAGACACGCAGGAGGCCTTGAAGGCCGGAGCCCCGGGAGACAACGTGTGCACACAGCTTCTGCCCCAACCCCAGCCGTCTGCGCAGGCCTGAACGTGCCTCACCAGCTGGCCCACGCGGGTCATGTGGCCCACTTCAGACACACACTCGTCACAGTGAAACACACAGCTCTTCCGGCTACTGGTGCGCACCTCAGGTGCACAAACCCCCGGGCAGGGATGGGGAAGAGCAGGCTCGGGTCAGACCCAGGGAGGGCCTCCAGGGCTGGGGGGAGAGGAGGGCTCAGCTCCCGCCCTGTGTGCACACACGGGCTGCTATTCCATCCTCTCTTCCCACCCTCTGGCCCATGTTTGGCCCTTGCTCTGGCTCCACACCCCTATCAGAAGCCCCTGCCTCAGGGCCCGGGGTGGGGCGTGGGTGGCACTTGCCATGCGGACTTCTAGCCATCTGTTGGCAGCCGTGAGGAAGAGGGAGGCAATGTTGTTGGAGTCTGTGTATTCGAGGAGCTTCTGCTGGAACCTAGCCTCATACCTGGAGGGCGGATGGGGAGGGTCTGAGGGTCCACATGACCCCCAGGCCTCTCCTTACCTACAGAGAAGCAGCCAGTAAACATGCTGTGTCTGACGTTATGTATGCCATTCCTCTCCAGACGGCCCTCCCAGCTCCCTGCTACTTTATTCAAACTTGTCAAGACTCCCACCTCCTTCAAACTCCTGCTTTCACCCCAAGACCCATTGTTCTCTTCAGGGTCTAGCTATTACAGTAAAGCGCACTTCTGCCCACCTAGATGCTCAGGCCAGAAACCAAGAAATCATCTGGATTCACAGCCAATCCCTCTACAAGACCTCTTATTTCTACCTCCAAAATAGTCCTTGCTTCTGCCTGCCTCTCGCCTGGGCTACTGCGTCAGCTTCCCCATAGGTCTACCTGCTGTCTTCCCACAGCAGCCGGCATAATCTTTGTAAATCATAAATTACATCCCATCTCTCTCCTGTTTGGAATGTCAATGGTTTTAAGGCTAAAGAACCACCTCCTTGCCAGGAGCCTGAGTGAGCTGGCTCCTGCCAACCTAGCCTCCTTCCATGCCACAAATTCCCTTGCTCACTGCCTTGCAGCCACAGAAATTACAATAAAGTCATTTGTTACTTGCCCTTTTTCAGTTTTGTGACAATACCAAGGTCTTTCCCACCCCAGGGCCTTTGTACATGCTGTCCCCTCTGCCTGGAATGCTTTTTCTTCCGCTCTTCACAAGGCTGACTCCTCTCAGCCTTCAGGCTTTACCTCAAATGACACCTCCTCAGGGTGGCCTTTCCTGGCCTATGGTTCCCCATCTCTGCAGCCTGTTTGTTTTATAACCTTTGTTCTTATGTTCATTTCTCTAGCTGCTTATCTCCCTCACGAGACTAGACTGTAAACTCTATGAGAATGGAGCCCATGGCTGTTTTGTTCACCAGGGCATCCCTAGCCCCTGGCACTGTCAATAAATACTTGCTGAATGAACGAATGGAACCTTCCCTGACCCTGGAGGCTTCTTTCCTTCGCTTGTGCCCTCATCATGTTCTCCTTGCGTTACTTCGTTACTTCGAATGGACCTGCTTTTTCTCCTGGGCTGGGGCTCCTGGCATCACTCTCCCTGGGCACCCCCTCACACCAGGCTGGCTTGGCCAGGCCCAGAGGAGGGGGCGGAGCACTTGTTTCACGACGAGCGAAGGAACAAATGGAAGCCGAAGCCGTCTTAGCATTGGTCTCAGGGAAACAACTGGGGACTCAGAGGGCTCAAGATGAGTCTTACCACGCCTTTGCTTTTGACTCTTGGAAGGTGTTTGTTCTGCTTTGATTATTTCTGGGCGGAGGGGCTGTGCCTGACCCATGTGTCTGAGGAGAGCAGAGTGAGTCTCGGAGGTGTGAGAGAGAGTACGATCGCACAGCACGGTGGCTGAGGCGAGTGTGTAGCCCCAGGTCTGAAGGGTGTGACTGTGTGTGACGGGCGAGCCTGAGGGCTGGGTGTGCATGAGGGTGTGTGTGGGAGGTGTGGCTTCTGGGATAGGTGTGTGACAGTGTGAGGACTGTGGAGAGTGCCAGGGTGGGGCCATGCAGACCCACACTGGATTCTGAGCCTTCTTCCTTCACTGGCTGTGTGTCAGGCCCAAGACTCAGTTTCCTCATTAGTAAAATGGGGACACTAATCGTTCCCACCTGGGCTGAAACAGCCTCTGAGCCCAACACTGGGTCTGGGGCTGGGGTACTCTTGAAACTTTTCTGGGAAAAGGCAGGGCCTCCTAGAGAAACCAGCAGGTCCCACAGGCCTGGGTTCCAAGCCTAACACTGGCTCCGACCTTGTGTGTGACCTCAGGTTGGTGATTCAGCCTTATCTGTTGAACGTGGCTGCTCGAATCCACGTCCTGGGGCTCTCGTGAGCGCTGAATGCAGTAATACACACACACACAGCACTGAGTACGGGGCCTGGCGGGTGTTAGGCGCACATTCAGTAAATGCTAGTCAGCTCCCAACAGGGCAGGCTGCTAGGCAAGAGCCAATGAATTAACCACATCCGGGGAGGACTAGAAAGTCCTTCATCCACATGTCGCGGTCCCCCCTGTGTCAGCGTAGGGCGTGGGAGGCCTCGCTGGGCAGCGGCTCCTCTGACTGACCCCAGGCTGGGTGTGAGGTTGCTTGCAGGATGCGGCATCCACTCAGATCCTACTGAGCAGGTCCAGCCCCCCGGCAGAAAGTCACAATCTCTCTGCCCCAGGCCCAGCCCGAAGGCCGCCAGGACCGCATGTGTAAGAGGAACAGTACTAAGACTGAGTAGGGGCCAGGCCCGGCAGTGTGGAGGGCCCTCGAAGTCAAAGGACCTGGGGAAGTGCAGGCTTGAGACAGGAAGGGGGCTCGGAGGAGACCTTAGCATCACACCAGGTTCCAAGGGGCTTCTGTGCGGAAGACAGCGCAGGGCTGTCCAGGGAGCGGAGCCGAGGCCAGGGCAGAGCTCAGCGTTGCTTTGCTTTCCTCAGACTAGACCCCTAAGAGGACGTTTCACTGGTGCAGATGGCCCAGGGAGTGAATGGGGCCACCGTGCTGCACCAGGGGGCCTGGGCACCTCTCCTAGAGCTTTGGGGCTTGGAGGGAGGAGACGCAAGCCTCCCTGAATCCTCTTGGCTGGTCCTTGCGCCCTGGGGTTACTCCTGGACATGGGACTTGGTGTCGCATGGTTACTGTCACACCCCGCACAGCTGTGCCATCCTAAAAATAACCTGGAATCACTCTCTGGGTAAGGCTTGGAGACCAGAGTCCAACCATCTGAGGCAGGGGTCTCTGGCCTGTTTGGCTGGAGGAGAAATGTTCTAATACATCAGACAGAGACTGGGGCAGGGAGCAATGGCCCCTCTACTCCCCAGGCAGCCTGAGATGCTCCCGTCTAGCCCAACATCATGATTGAGGGTGGAAAGCAGGGACACTGAAGTTTTGCAGGGAAATCCTCCAGCTTGGTGAACTTTTATTTACCCTTTGATGCTGGCTCCGACAACATGTCCTCTGTGAAGTCTTCGGTGACTGCCTCCCTTCTATGTCCCCACAGGCTGCATTCCCCTTTCTTTCAGAGTACCTGTCACATGGTTTTGCGCTGGCCTGCTCAAAGCCTGGACTGTAAATGCCTCCAGGATCGGGGCTCATCTGACTCATCTCTGTCTTTTTAGTGCCTGGCTTGGGTTTTAGCTCAGTACATGTTTACTGAACGAATGGGCAGGTTCAAGTCTAGGTTTCAGACGGCCTTACCCAGAGGGGTTATATAATGTCTCTGAGCCTCAATTTCTTTATTTGGGAAATGGGAATAATCATGCAAACTGCCTTGGATTGCAGTGCAGAATGAATGAGATGATATGTAAATTACTTAGCATAGTGTTCGAGTCACTGGAGATTCTCCAGAAAAGATGGCCTCGGTGTTGGCCCACATGCTGGAAAAGCCTTTCTAGCATTGATATGTGAGCATATACTTCCCAGCTTTGTTTCTTTTCATGTCCTGCCTTAGTTCACAGAGGCTCTGGACTTGGCTGCAGGGCTGAGATTTTCCTCTCTGGTTCATACAGTGGAGCCCACCGGACCTGACCCCTCTGGGGGACATCATCAAGGCTTCGGGGCCTGAGGAGTGGTTGGGAGACAGGTGTCCTGGGCCTTCCTAAGCCAAGCCCTGACAACCGAACCACATGACCTGTGGCCCTGGCCCCACTCCCACCCACCCGCACCTTGGGGTAAATCTGGTACCTGAAGGCCCGGATGGTGGTGAGACCTTCCACAGTTTCAGCAAAGTGGGAGAGCAGGGGGAGCTGGGTGGTGTCATCCAGCTGCTGCAGGTCCCTGTGCAGGGGAGCAGAGTAGAATGGTCAAGAGGGCAGGCGCAGGGCTCGGCTCGGGTCTGAATCCTAGCTCCGCCCACAACCACTGTGTGCGCAAATGGCTTCACCTGTCCAGGTCTCAGTGTCTCCCCTGTAGAGAGGGAAGCCAGTGGTACCACCCAACAAAATGCATAAACAGCACGCCGGGGCAGGCCCTGTAACCCCAGGCACCGTCTACCTCACGAGTGTGGTAAGGCGGGGCACGTACGGTCGTTCTCTCTCACGGGGAACAACCTGAACCTTGCGACAGCTAGCGAAAGGAGCAGAAAGACCTCACGCAAAGCTTTCAGTCCCCTCCCCGGTAACCACAATAGGTTCAGGCACATCAAGGGCCAGCATCTACAGAGCTCCTTGAGGGGGACAGGCCAGAGGTTTCCATGGCAACAGGATTGCCCCTGCCCCCCACAGCTGCACCCTGACAAGCACATCAGTGCCAGGGAGGTCAGGCTGGGCTGCGGGAGGCAGCGTTCCCGGACAGACTGTCCCCGGGGCAGAGAGGATGCCAGGGGAACAGGGTGGTTTCCCTGGCAGAAGAAATGAAATTTGTAAAACAGCTTGTAACAGTGTTTAAAAAGTCACAGTGATTTGTGAACACTAACATGCTCCTTCTGGGTGCCAGGGGATTCTACACCATCCTGCATACGAACCTTGGTCCTCACGGGCAAGGTAATCGTGGTCAAAATGTATCTAAATTTAATTGTTTTTATTGATAATCAGCATTTTGACTCCAGTTACTAATCAACTATGTGCACTTGGGGAAGGTACTTAACCTTTTGATTATAACCTGCAGTAAGAAATGCATTTTATACTACAAATCAGTGCACACGTGCACACACACACACACACCCCCCTACACGCCCCAAACAAAGGTTTCATGAAGCAGAACTTACTGTTACTATGTGCATACAGTCTGATATGTTCTGTTCAATTTCATCTGATAAAAATGCTGGCTGTGAGCTATGATATTGATTTCATGACCCACTGACAGGTTGCAACTGGCGGTTTGAAAAACACTGGTCTAGAGATTCTTTCAAATTTTCCTGACAATTATTTGGACCTATGAGTTTAACAGAATCACTCCCAGAAAGAACTTCTAGAGAACGTTCTTAGAAAATTTTGAGTAGGGAAGAAGCCTGTGTGACTCGAAGGCTCCCGAGGGCAAATGTGATCACTGTGAAAGGCTCCCTCAAGTCGAGGCTCCCAGGCACACTCTGGCCCCCGTGGGCTGGGACGTAGGGTTGCCATAACACCCCTGCCATCAGGGGCCCTCGATTTCGTGCATCAGCAATCAGCCTGGTCACTGGACTCCTCCCGAGAAGCATTTTGGCAAAATGAATGAAGGGCATAAAGGTATGTATACACCCCGACCTAGCAATTCTACTCCTGACTCTATCTCCTAAGGAAATAGTTCTGATATTAACGGCAGGGTGTGTGTGTGTGTGTGTGTGTGTGTGTGCGTGTGTGTGTGTGCGCGCTGACAGACGGTTACATCAGGGTGGTGGAAGATGAATGTCTCCCCTTCCTTCATTTCTATTTTCCTTTTCAGGGGCAATAGGACTCTACTAGTTTTTGATGATTACTCTAGTAAGAGTACCCAGCTGCCCATTGCAAAGCATCCCCCCGCCCCTGAGGCTGGCAAAGGCTGCCATTACCTGGATGCCACCCGGAAGTACTTCTGGATGAAGTAGCAGACCACGGCCAGGGGAAAGAGGGCCACGAGGAACACAGGCGTGACATAGGAGATGACAGCCAGGGCTGAGACGCAGAGCAGGGTGGAGCGGCTCAAGCACTCCAGCGTGGATGGGATGTGCTGACGGAGGGGAGGGTGAGAGAGGGAGGTGAGTTTTGGTGTTTATCTTCAGTGTGTTACCTGCCGCCATGTTTTGCTCTCTCACATTCTTACAGGCACATGTCTCGTCTCTCCAGCTACACTGTAGGCTCCCTGAGAGCGGGAATCAGGACTTTGCTTCCTCACCATCTAGTACGACGGTAAACCGAGAACACAAGCTGAATTGAAAGGAATGTTCTCCACAAAATCAGCCACCTTGGTTCAGACTATGCTGGAACCTTACTGGAGTGAGCCAGGGGGTATTGGATGGAAGCCAAAGGGATGTGGTTTCCCTCAGTCTTATCATGACAGTTTCACAGGGGCAGCCCCAGGCCCCGAGGCAGCATTGTAATCAGATTGGGGCCCACTGGGTTCGTCCCACGGGGCTCTGAGCACCAAATCTGGGGAAGCCAGCACCAGAGAGGAAAAGCGTGGGGGTCTGGCCTCTCTCTGAACTGGGGAAATGGGTCACAGTCCTGTGTACCTGGTCGATGGTGTTACAGTCAGCTGAAAATCTATTCAGGATGCTTCCAAGGGGCGTGGTCTCAAAAAACCTAAGAGGCAACCAGAACAGTTACTCATCCATTTATTGATTTCCTTCCTGTTTATTGAATGAGGGTAGTTCTTTCATTTTAGTGTCTTTGGGGTCATCTCTGGGTCTGGCTGCCTAGGGGTGGTTGCCTTTGCAAGTCTGTAGCTATCTGGCCTGTGTCCCTGAGAATTCCTGCAACTGCCCAAAGGGGTGCTGGCCCCTCACTAACCTCTCTGGCTCTCAAGCCCATGTATGACCACCACCACCTTCCTCAGCTGTTTGATCTGCCTGACTCACTCAGCAGCTCACTCCAGGGACATCGAGTCTTCTCCAGGGCGAACAGGGCCCTGGGGATGGGTTGTCAGCTGGCTGACCCTGCGAGGCTACTCGGGCTGTCATCACTCTGGCTCTGAACCAGAACCGGCCCAACCCTAACCAGAGGGTTTTGGGAGCTCAGACCGGGGACAAATAGAGGGTAAGTAAATGTTGAGGTCATGCCTGTGGGCCACAGAGAGCTCATGAGGCTGAAAAGTAAAAAGTGTAGTCAGATGGTGAGGCCTGGCATTGACAAGGGGCCAGACCACCTGTTTGCCTGTCGTGCTTTAAAACAGAGTCAGCCAGTCGACTGGGCAGTGACCACCTTAGATCTGTTTCACACCAAGTGGCCTTTGGGATTTTTATCCATCCCCTTCCAGGAGATTAAAACATGTCCCCGTGTGCCCAGTGTCAGAACCTGCAGGCTGGCTGAGGGAGGAGGGGCAGAGCGGAGACGGGCAGACATTACCTGCCTGAGGAAGGGAAACTTACATCTACACAGAGCCTGCGGACACTCACTTTGAAGGGCTGTGTGACAATTAGATGAGCGAACCATATAAAATGCTTAGCACCATGTGTGGCTGAGTAAATGCTGGTTTTCCTCTGCCTTCTGCCCCGAGGAGGACATTTTTACACACCTCCTCCTTGAGCCACCCCCCCCCGTCCCTGCCACCTCAGCCTGTGACAGAGGTTGCATATCTCCATTTTACAGGTGGCAGAACTGAGGCCCAGAGAACAGCAACTTGCCCACAGCCCCAGCATGGCCGGGGGAGAGGGGTACCTCATGGGAGCCAGGATGATCCGGTTCAGCAGGCCGCGGTGCAACCTTTTGGCCACCTTCAGCCCCGTCCACTCTACCGTGACGGACGTGACAAGGCACAACACGATGCCCAGGCTGCAGAGCACCGTGAATACCATGGCATAGACAGTCTGGTCAAGGGTGCACTCCTGGGCCGGGCAGAGAATGATGCGGGGTCCTGGGGGTGTCCGGGGCTCAGCCCTCTCCCCCCACCCTCTCCCCGGCCCCTGCCTGGGGCAGTCGGCCACACCTGGCTGAGTGAGCAGTTCCTGGCCGCGGGGCTCGGGGTCAGGGCGCTGTCAGTCCACTTGGCCAGCCAGTAGTCAATGGCCACCAAGACCATGTGCTTGAGCAGCTGGGAGAAGACGAGCAGTGACAGGAGCAAGATGCCGGCGGATGACAAATACTTGGTGCAGGCTCGCCATGGGATCTTGGCCCGCTGGTGCAGCACTGAAGACAGGTTGTCCTCCTCCTCGCTCTCAGCTGCCTCCTCTGCAGGCCGCAAGAACCCACCCTGTGGCTTCCCATTCACCCTCCCTCTGAGGGTGAACCGGGGGGCATGTTATCCCCACTTAACAGATGGGAAAACCGAGGCACACAGAGGGCAAGGGATTTAATGAAAGTCACACTATCTCAGCACCCCCAGAACCCCGAAACTTTGTCTCCCCATGGTCCGCCAGACCTCAGGCCATGATCTCACTGTTAGTCCCACAGTCTGTACCTTCCTCCTCTTCCTCATCCTGCAGGAGGCCGTCTCTTGAGGACATGGCCCGGGGCAGGCCCTGAGATGGCTCTGTGGCTTTTCTCTCCATGACAGTCTCCTGAAAGACAGATGGACCCCGGCCACTGTCCTCAGAGTGTGCAGAGGGAAGGAGGGAGGGTGGAGGGCAGCCACCCCTGGCAATGACTGGTGTCAGGTTTCCAGGGTGCCCCCACCTGGGGGAGAGTCCAGATGGACACAAGTTTGTCATGCCAGAATTTACTTCTCCCCATTTATCGGCTAACGATACCCCAAACATTCCTGTGGGAGACCATCTCTCCCCTATTCTTAGTCTCTGTGACTCAGGTGGGCTGATCATTCTCCTTGGCTCCGGGGGTGGGCACGAGATCCAGGGCTGGCCAATCTCACATTCCACAATGATTTATTCAGGGTGGGCACAGGACCAAAGTGGACAAAGGAGAGTTAACCTGGGGATTTCTGCTGAACTGTTGTGACAGAGATACTCTCTTGCTGGTAGAGGTGTTGAGCTGGGAGAATGTAAGCTCGAGGCTGCTGATCAAGCTCTCTCCACCACCACAAGAATGAGGCCCGTCTGAGGGGAGCAGAGCCAATGAGGGAGAGAAACAGGTTCCTGATGACAGTGTTTAACTACCTGGATCCAGCTCTACCTGAAGCTGATCCTTTTTACTTTCATGAGCCAAAAAGTCCTTACCTCTCCCCTTTTCTGCTTCACCAGTTTGAGTTGATTCTCTGAAGCTTTATAACTAAATGGATTCTGACTATTTCAGGATAAGGGGAAGGTGTCCACCTGAGTCTGCCCTGAGTACCTGGCACAAGTGCCGGCCCTCCTCTGGAAGGAGGAAGTTCATGCTCAGCTCCCACATCTGTCCTTTGAGGGGTTTCCTAGGGCAAGGAGGGCAGGAAGGCCTTTGTGTGTTCAGGATTCTAACAGAAACTTCTCCTCAGAGGGTGGCTGCCTGGCCCTTAGGACATACTCACCTTCTCCAGCTCTTGGTCCTGCCGGTTCATGAGGGTCTTCCAGTGCTCAAAGAGCTGGCACTCGGACCTCTGGAAATCCTTGAGCGTACCCTCCCTCTGGATGGTGCCATCCTTCATGGCGATGATCTGGAAAGGCAGAAACAGACCCAGCCCCGGGGCTGAACGGGAAGGGGGTGTGGCGGTCACACCCCCACCTCGGCAAGGGCTCTGAGATGGACTGGCACACATCCTCTTCCCCACCACAACTGGCCACTGGCCTCCCCGCTGCAGTCCTTACCGACACACTCCCAGGATCTAGAGGTCGGTACTTTTGGGGGGTAATTCTCAGGGGTTGCCCCAGGGTTGCTAAGAGGGTTTGCAGAGCAAATTGGTGGATCCTGGCCAAGCGGTCTGATTCCTTGCTAGGATCCCATCAGGGGCAGCTGTTTTCACACACTCAACAGCTAATTGCACGCTACTTCCAGCTCCCCTGACCACAGGTCTGGTAGGTTCCACCAGTGGTTAACAAAGTACCCATTGGTCTAAGTGTGTGTGGCGTGGCCATGCCTCTCTGAAATCAATAAAACTGATTTTATTTGAAACACTCAATGTTTCCCACTCATAGACTCTTGTCATTAATTCAGAGACCCTCCCCTGCTCCTTCACCCCCGTCCAGCCCGTGATGGGGTGTAGGGAGGGATGCCTGGGAGTCTCGCTCTCTGACATTCCAAGGAACCAGTCATGCCTTTGTCTGCCCTCTTAAGACTAACGATTGTCCCGAACTGCCCTGCCAAGGTCACCATGGAAACTCAGTCGCAGACCTTCTGCCCCTGTTGTAAGTTTCTTTAAAAAATACGGATTTTTTTCTTTTTTCATAGTAGAAGGAGGATTTTACCACATGTGGAAGGAAGACTTAGGCCCATTTAGCACAGGCCTGAAGCTCAATTTTCAGGGACAAATTTATATAGGAGTCTGGCAAGGCCCAGATTTTAAAAGTCACATGATTTCCATCTTAAAGATTAAATGCTTTCCAATTAACTGAAAAGTAGCTGTTGTCTACATATTGAGGAGTACAGAAATTTGGTTAATGTGGGGTTTCACAAAATTGCATTCTATTGATAATATTGAAGTTTCTATTACTACTTGTATTGTTTGTTGCCATGTTTTCCAGCTGATCTTGACTTAAATGCATCGGACCCTCGGTGGGTTAGAGGGTGGGAAGATGGCTCTCCCATCCAAATAGGCAGCCCCAAGGCCAGGGGGATGAGTCATCAAACTGGGCCATAAACAGAAGGTAGGAACTGAGCGTCTGCTTCTTTCCGAGACTTCTTGGTGCCAGGCTTGCGTGTACGCACAGGGGCCCCAGGTGAGGATGGGAACGTGTGCAGCTATTGTGATACCGAACCCCTGGCCTGTGCAGGATCTGCCTGAGCTACCCAGCCTGCATGAAGCCTGTCAGTGTGGATCGCTTCTGCCCTCAGCAATTGCTACTGAGACACCGACTCCTTTGCCTCTCCCACCTCTCCTGCTGCCTCTCCCACTCAGCCCTCCAAAGCTTCACCTCCTGTGGCCCCTCACCCAATCTGCATGTGGCAGGTACTGGAGCTTGTGGGTCACTAGGACCACTGTCCTCTTGTCATCCTGGAGCAGCTCAAGGATCCCGGCCTGCATCAGGTGGTCACTCAGATGGACATCCAGAGCTGAGAAGGGGTCATCCTGGGCAGAGGAGAGAAGGTGGGGGCAAGGGTGGGGGGAGGGGGTAACAGTGAGAATAAAAACCATCAGAGTTATACCAGCTCTGGTCCAGGGACTGACACTAGTTAGCTGTATGGCCTTGGACAATGTATTTAACCTCTCTGGGCTTTAGACGCCTCATCTTAAAATGCAGCTGTTATCAGTGATTGCTCTCAAACAGATTTAATCACAGGCACTTCCTGACTCCTGAACCTTCAATAGCTCCCCATTGCCTATGAAGTCTGAATTCCTTAGCATGGTAAGCTAGGCCCTCCATTACCTGCCCAGTCTGTCTGGTCTCACTTCTCTTTCCTGTCCAAGCTCCCTGTAACTCCAGCTTTCTAGAGAACTTGCCACTCCGAGGTTTTTACCTATGCTTTTCCCTCTGCCCAAAGTGCCATTTTGCCTTTTGTCTGCCTGGTGAACATCCACTCATCCTTCAGTGCTCTATGTGTCCTCTCTTGACTTCCATGCCTAGCCTTCCCTCCTCTCAATTCCAGTTGTGATGGTTATTTGTCCACTCCTGTGAGATTCCCAGGAACTGACACCCCTTGCGCCCATGCCAGGTAGAGTAGGAGCTTAATACAACTTTGCTGAAATAAACGAAAATAACCACTTTACTTCTTTTTTTTTTTTTTAAAAGATTATTTATTTATTTATTTGAGAGAGAGAATGAGATAGAGAGAGAGAGCACGAGCAGGGGGAGGGTCAGAGGGAGAAGCAGACCCCCTGCTGACCAGGGAGCCCGACGCGGGACTCGATCCCGGGACTCCAGGCTCATGACCTGAGCCGAAGGCAGTCGCTTAACCAACTGAGCCACCCAGGCGCCCCATAACCACTTTACTTCTAACAAGGTTGTTTAAAGCTCATACGAGACCATGAATAAGCTAATACTTTGTGAAGTGCTATGTCAGATGGTAACAAAGACTATGAACCTTTACATTTTGAAGTGTGTTTAGTGGGGAGCATTTATGTGTATTGGGCGCCGGGGGGTGGGGGAAGAATATAACCAGGTTCAGAGACCTGAGGTTCCTTCTTCTGACTTCCTACCCAAATGGCCTTCCTCTTTCCTTCGGTTTAACTGACTCACTTTTCAAGGTCCTTCTCCAGGAAGCTCTCCCTGATTATTCTAGCTCTCCCCATTGTCTCCTTGGGCAAGGCTCCTCATAGACCGTGCCACACAGTTTGGCTTTCAACTGGGCTGTGGCTCTGTCTCTCTAGCTAGACTCTACATCTCTGAGGCCGAGGATTGGCTCCCAGAATTCTTCAGTGTCAACCAAAGCACCTAACACAGAACTTGGCCTGAACTATGGCAGGGAGAGCTAATAATGTTAGCTCATGTTTGACTGCTAAAGGTTATCTGGAGTGCTGTGTTGAGAAGGATTCTGAAGCCAAGTTAATTTTCCCACAGAAACTTAATGTGGGGTTTCACAGAATTGCTTTCATTGATAATGCTGAATTTTCTATTACTACTGCTGTGATCAATTAGCAATGTCTGCTCTGGGCATGGGATGGGCGGTGGCAGCAGACATTCCACGAATTATAGTGGGGCTAAGTGTTGATAGCTTGGGGCTGTCCAGCAGGGAGGCGGCCTGTAACTCCTACGCATCTCCCCTTATGGCTACTGCAGAGTTCAGTGTGAAGTCCACAGTGGGTCATTTGCACTATCCTTGCCTCAGTTTCCCCACCAATGATTAGGTAATATCTCTGGCAGGAGAGGTTTACTCCCTGAGAGGGAGGTTGGGGTGTGTGTGTGTGTGTGTGTGTGTGTGTGTGTACAGGCAGTGAGTCAGGGAGGGCCTCAAGGGGGACACCAGCTAATGCCACTCACCAAGAAGACAACGTTGGTGTGCTGGTACAGGGCTCGGGCCACACTGATTCGCTGGCGTTGACCACCAGATAGATTGATGCCCTGTGACCAAAGGAGAGGAAAGGTCATGCTCTCAGAGCCCCTCAGCAAGGACTGTCCTGGCCCTTACTTGACTGTGAGCTCTCTGAGATGGAGGCCTGGCTCTATCCACCTCTTTGCCCCCTCCTCATCTTGAATAGAGGAGGAACTTGTACACGTTTACTAAATGCATTCAGAAGTGGGGAGCAGGATCCCCACGTCTTTGAAGATTCATCATGTAGGTGCTAGGGACCATCTGACTGGTGACAACTAAGACACAGAAAGTAGGGATTTAAATCATACATGAGGAGGACAGTCGTGGGAGCATCCTATTTGCCTAAGCTTATGGAGGAGGGGCCCCACCTGGCCAGGGTACCCAAAGGAGATAACCCCGGGCCTACCGCAGTATCACGTGGGCCTTAGTATATATGCGGGGCATGAATGAAGGAGATGCTAAGTCATCTCCAGCCCAGCGAGGCGCGAGTTGCAAACCTGTCGAGGATAGCCAGCCGCCCAGGGCTCGGGATCATTTTGACTTCACTGCAGGATGCTCTTCCACCTTTACCCTCTCTTATTTTCCAGTCACCTGCTCTCCCTGAGAATGATCTCCGGGCATGCTGGGGGTCAGGGGAGATTGAGGGCCCCCGCTTTGAAAAAACCCCATAGAGGCTGCTACTAACCCGTTCCCCAATCTGAGTCTGGTCTCCATGGGGCAGGATGTCGATGTCCGGCTGCAGGGAGCAGGCTTCGATGACCATTTTGTACCTGGAGTGGTGGGGCGGGGGAGGGGGTGGGAGGGGCAGACACAGCTGATCAGCCTGGCCAGAGTCGGGCCTGAGCACATGCAGAGGGTCATTAGCTTCTGGGCAGCTGTGCTCAGGGGGAGCAATGGCTTTAATGGCCTTCTGCCTGGCTGCAGGCAAACACCACGTGAGCTTCAAAAGAGCTGAGGGCAGCACCTCACAGAGTCTTGGGGCCAGTTAAATATTTGAAGGATGAAATTGGATAGTAGCATTTATGCCATGTAAGTTACAAAAGGGAGCCCCAGGCCCCCGTGCAGTGGGAGAAACCGTGGCCAGAGCCCACCCTGGGGGCACTGCCAGGGAAAATCACTGCTGGTTGGCCTCAGCAGTAATGATGATGGCTGATCAAATATTTGCCCAGCCTGCTCCTCTCATACTTCCCCGACCAGCTCTTAGCTTGGGCAGGGGCCAGCCAGCGTGCATGGAGGCATCAGAGTGTCTTGGTGACAAGTAATTGGGTGTCAGGCAGCCTTGGATTTGAGACTCATTTCTCTCACTTATTGGCTGGGTGGCCTTGGGCAAGTTACCTAACCTTTCTGAGCCTTGGTTTCCTCCTTTGTAGGATGGGGCTAATAATAGTAGCTGCCTCCTGGGGTGGTTGTGAGCATTAGAGGAAACCACGCATATAGAGCGGGATGCTGTACTTGGCACCTCGGAGCTCAATTGATGGTAGCGATTATTATTATCATTGGAGGGAAAATAGCGCATGAGCTGCAGAGCTGGGCGTAGGGAATAATGGGGAGCTGGGTCAGCCTTCCCCTTAGCCTCAAGAGAAGGCACCAAGGCTTCCACCCAATGACCCCCACCCTTTCTGCCCTCATACCCACAGGAGCTGGACTGCCTCAATGCCCAGGCACATCTGGATCATTTCCAGGTGTGCCATATGGAACAGGCTGGAATCCAGATAAGCATCCTGGAGAGCAGAATGGCTGGGTGTGGGGTGATCGATGGAGTGACAGGGCAGCCGGCTGGGGCTCAGGTACTGGGGAGGGCTGGCTAATGCTGCCCTTGACCAGTTTCTCCCCTCCCCCAGGCTGTCTTCCTCTGAGAGGCTTTTACCGTTGTTTGTTGAAGGGACTCTCAAAGGTGATGTTCTCCTCCACGGTGGCATTCAACAGCCATGGTTTCTGAGAAGCATAGGCCACGGGACCTCTCTTCCTGGAATGAAGCAGGTGGGAGTAGGGGCGCCCTTCTCAGGGGCAGTTGTCAAGCAGAGGGTTTAGACCGGGGAGGTGCACTTGGCAGAAATCTGCTTTCTGTGGCCCCTGGTGGCCTAGGGCCGGCTTGGTGCCCAGGTCTTCAACCCTGCCCTGCCCTGCAACCGACCTGTCCCACCCCTGTCATCTGTTCTTCCTGAATCTGTACCCAGAACTGGAAGGAGCCCAGAATGTGACCAAACCAAGTAAACCCTCAACCCCTAATTTCCTGCTTCCCTGAGCGGCCCTCAAACCACTTGCTTTTGATATTAACAGGTAATTTTCCAAGTGGAACTTCTTTAAAATAAGCAGAGCCAAGGAAACCACATTTAGTGTGGCAAGGTTTTCGAAGACCAAAAACAAGGTGGTGGGGGGAGGAGCAGAAAAAAACGATCTGGTGTGAAGGGAGCAGCTTGGTGCTCAGAAGCAGTGGAGGCCTCTGAACCATCTGATGGAGTACAGAACCCCCCTGGGCCTCTTCCCTGCCACTGGGCTGGGCGATGGGCGGGGGGCTGCCTTCGAGAGTTCCATGGCTCCCTGGGGCCTGAGAGCCCCTCTGAGGAAGCCTGCCCATAGGGCAGGTGATCCCGGGCACGGTACCTGACGTCCGAGTCGGCCACCGGCTCCCGCTCTGGGCTGCAGCAGGAAGAAAAGACACAACTTCAGGGCTCCCATACATGTACCACCTTCTCCACAGACATCTGGGCTCCCTCAAACCTGGCATGAGGGTGCCTTCAGAGTCCCTGGGACCAAGGATGCAGCCACCCACGTTGCATGGAGGGGTGAGGAGTGGGGCTTGGCCATCCTGGGGGAGCCTCTGCTGCCCGACCCTCTGTAGCATCCCCAGTATGTGTGGGGTGCGTGAGGAGGGCCCCAGGGCCCCAGCTGAGAGGGAGAATGGGGGAAAGGCACCAATGGTGTAAGCTTGTGTGTGTGTTGGTGGGGGGAATCCCATGTCAGAGGAGTATGAAGGCCAGTATGTGGCTCCTTCCAGGCTCCAGCCTCTGCATTGGGGCTCAAATGCACAGATTCGTCTCAGACAGACGTGGCCGCCAAAACAGCTGGGCCACGGAGGGCTGTCTGGAAGGAGCCAGGCCAGGCCCGCAGCTTGTGTGTGGGAACCTTCCGCCCGTGGAGCTCTCGTGGTGGCAGCCAGAGGGCCGAAAAGCCTCGTGTGGCCCTGTCAGCAGCTGGCGGTGGAATCTGGGGGATCTGCGGGGAGGGGCATGGTCAGCGGCAGTGTCCCCGTGCCTTGGGCTGCCTGCAACGGATCTAGTGTCAGCTCTTCTGTCCTGCCGTTGTCATCCACAGGTCAGACTGGTCACATACCGTCAGCTCGGCCTTTTGGCTCAAGAACCACGGTTACTGTGGCTAGAGAGGCTGGGCCTGTCATCACACCCCGGCACTTGGGGACAAGGTGGGAGAAAGGGCAGAGGAAACATGGGGAAGTGAAACACTCTGGGGTCAGAGCCAAGGCCAGGAACTTGAGTGTAATTACAGAGTTGAGTCAATGTTCCCCGGTCCTGGGTTCATGCCCCCGCGTCCCACATGTTCTTAGGAGGCGTGAGGTTGGGGAGGGTCGTGAGGGTCTCAGAGCCTCATTAATCGACTTCACCTGGACTTTTTCAGACCTGTACACTAGACATAAAGCAGTAAGACTGCATTTTCTGTCTGGCCTGGGGGATATCTACCTCCTCTCTCACAGCCGTGTTTCTCAACTTTTTTTTTTTTTTCAGGAGCATTCCCTAGGGTCTTTTTAAACACACTTCCCCCCCTCCCCCACCGAATTGTCTTTTCCCTGACACATCTGTTTTCCAGTTAAATCGCTTTTACTTGAGTCACAAGGTTGTGCAAGCATCACCTCCCCAAAATAAACCCTGTACCCATTAGCAGTGACTCCCTTTCTCCCTTCCCACCAGCCTGTGGCAAGCAGGAAGCTACTTTCTGACTATCTACCATGACATTTTAATTAATTAGTTAATTTAAAAAATTTTTATTTTAAGTAGGCTCCACACCCACCATGGGACTTGAACTCACGACCCCGAGGTCAAGAGTTTCATGCTCCACCGACAGAGGCAGCCAGGTGCCCCATTCACCATGAAATTTTTAAACCACAGATCTATTATATATCTGTTTATATACTATCTGGCCCTTTGAAGGGCCACAGACTGGCATGTCTAAGATTTTTTTTTCTCTCCAAGAACCAGATTTTGCCCTTGTTGAGAAAGCATGCCTTATTATAAGGCCCAGTGCCTCTGACATGGTGTAGGCTGCATACCCTGCAATCCAGACTCAGTACCCCACCCCCGTCCAAGCCCTCCCAGCCCCCCAGCTTCTTCCCTTTGTTGGGACCCACTTCTAACCCAGTTCCGAGGCTGTACCTGGGGTCCTCTCCGGTCTCATCAGGAAGGCTGCTGGGGCACAAATGGGAAAAACCAACACCAGTCACTTCTCAGTCCACGGCCTTTCTCTCTATCGCAAAGGTCTCTGGAGAGCAGCCATCCCCACCACCCCCACCCCTTCCCCCCTGCCCAGTGTCCCCAAGTGGCGTCCTTGGGGCACAAACTGCTCTCCTCAATCTCTGTCCCTCCCACAGCACCCAGATGAGCACCGTCCCAACAGCAAGGGCTAAATCCGTGCTCCTGGCACAGCTCAGGGCAGCAGTGAGGCTGGCTGGGCATCACGATGCTTGGTTTTCCAGTTGGGAAAATGAAAGCTCAGAGAGGAAAAGTAACTTTGCCAAGGTCACAATCAATTTATACAGTGCTTTCAAACTGTAGGTTGGGACCCAATAATGGCGTGTGAAGTAAGTGAACTGCAACAGCACTAAAAAAAAAAAAA